CATTTCGGAAGGAGGAAGCTTTTCGCCGAGGAATCGTTTGAGATGCAGACCGGTTACTGTGCCAAAAAGGATAAGGTACCATTGTTATCAGTTGAAGCTTTGCATCATCTGCATATCTTTATCTTCGTCCTAGCCATTGTCCATGTGACCTTCTGTGTTCTCACTGTTGTCTTCGGAGGGATTAAAATTCGTCAATGGAAATCTTGGGAGGATTCGATCGCAAAAGAAAATTATGATGCAGAACAAGTTCTCAAGAAGAAGAAAAAGGTCACCCATCTCAACCAACACGCTTTTATCAAAGCCCATTTTCTGGGTATGGGTAAAAATTCAGCCTTTCTGGGTTGGGTAGATTCTTTTGTCAAACAATTTTATGCATCTGTGACGAAATCAGATTATGTGACTTTGCGACTGGGTTTCATCACAACCCATTGCAGGGGAAACCCCAAATTTAATTTTCACAAATACATGATTAGAGCCCTTGAAGATGATTTTAAGAAAGTGGTTGGTATAAGTTGGTATCTCTGGGTATTTGTGGTCATCTTCTTGCTGATGAATATTAATGGCTGGCATACATATTTCTGGATAGCTTTTGCTCCCTTCGTTCTTCTGCTTGCTGTGGGAACTAAGCTGGAGCATATAATTACCCAATTGGCACATGAGGTTGCTGAGAAACATGTAGCCATAGAAGGGGATCTTGTGGTTCAGCCATCAGATGACCACTTTTGGTTCGGCAAACCCAAACTTGTCCTCTTCTTGATCCATTTCATCCTCTTCCAAAATGCTTTTGAAATCGCCTTCTTTTTCTGGATTTGGCTGCAGTATGGTTTCGACTCGTGCATAATGGGACAAGTGCGTTACATTGTCCCTAGGCTTATTATTGGGGTGTTCATTCAGGTGCTCTGTAGTTACAGCACTCTGCCACTCTACGCCATTGTAGCACAGATGGGGACTAATTTCAAGAAGGCAATATTTGATGAGCATGTGCAAGTAGGGCTTGTTGGTTGGGCTCAGAAGGTTAAGAAGAAGAAGGCGCTGCAAGCTGCTAACGATGCCTCTGGCTCTGGCTCTGGCTCTGGACAAGGCCAAGCAAGTTCCCATGGTGGTAGTCTTGCTTCTAATATGGGAATTCAGCTGGGAAAATTTATGAACAAGGCAACTAAGCAGGAGGAAACTAAGCAGGAGGAGATTAAGTAAAAGTAAATGTAACTTTGTAGAACTAGATTTTGGATTTTTGTGTGTGTGCTCTTATAATTATCAATAGCTAGCTGGACAATATTTTGCAGTTGTTACTGAAAAATCCAAAAAAAATTTGTTGCAAAATCATTGCCCCCCTGGCACGTTCTGCATCTAAGAGTTCTTCTTTTATTAATGAAAGCAAATACATATTGCACATGTGCTGAAAGATGTTGATATCTTTGGTAATACATTCATATGTTACACCACATAATGTATAATTACATGAGTCATGGACTATCATACAAGTTTCCAAATTTCAAGAATATTTTTCTGTTCATCCCCCTATCATACTTGACAAGTTTATTACAAGCAATCAAAGCTTAAGTGTGGTTCCATGACCCCAAGAACATGAGAGTCTTAATTGGGTCTTCTGCAGAGGAGCTCCACCTTCGTCTCTCGATTGCCTTTGAAATCAAGAGACCCCTACCAACACCATTCTGAGCTCCATGCCTCGCCATGACCAGCATGGCGGCCTGATAAGCCTGCCCGAGCCTTTCTCGAAAACCTATCTTTGATTCTTCACACAGAGAACTCTCCCCAGAGATGTGTTGGGGTTTCATTGTTGGTGATAAAACTGCGTTTGTTAGGCCAAGAAGAGGGTAAGATATTAGAATTATTCATGGCCTTGCCTGGGTTCTTATAGAAGAAAAAAGGGTTGGAACCTGACGATGTGGCCAATAACATCACATGGGTTTTGAAAATAAAAGATGCTGCATGATTGATATGGTGACCCAACTAGTATATAGACTTTAGTGTAAAATATTCATTATCTTGTCTGCATCTATTCATTATCTTAAACAGATGCTTTGATAAACAAATTGTGCATATGACAGATTGAATCCAATGCCATGTTACAGGAAGATGTGCTCATTGTGCTTCTGTCTGATGCCAAAATTGATAGCTGAGTGTCATTTGGAGTGATATCATATCATATTCCAATTTCTGATGTGTTAAGACTCTGTAATAGAGATGCCCCTTTCAAATCCGAATTTACTTTTTACCAGGCTTAGATTCCAAATGTTTCAATTCACACTTGAAAGTGAGGAAAATGTTGATGAGAAGCTATCAAACTAAAGATGCTTTCACTGTGCAAAGACAATTGGCTGATATGGCCCCTGCATTCCACTCCCCAAGATGAAATGAGTGGTGAGAGAGAGCCAAAGAGGAGGAGGAGGAGGGGGCATAAATTGACTCTCCAATAGCACCAAATCACCAGCTGTCGCCCTATCAACTTCTCCTATCTCTTCTTATCTGATTGTTGTTTTTAAAAAAAGAAAAGTTTATGGATATTTTCAGATTTTCTGCCAGGAAACCGAGCCTTTTCATTCTGGCTTTTGGATACTAAATTATTGGGCCTTGAAACAAGTCCTCTCCTCCTCTAGGCCATGCGAAACACCCAAGGCTCGGTTGAACACATACAACAGTTTGCCTTTCTCACTGGGTTGTGTTAGTTTATAAGCCCAATCTTGTTTGACAAATTAGAGAGAGACTGTAACGAGGAATTGGGCCACTGGATTGAACCCTCGACATAACTGTAAACATAGCTCCCAATATCCATGATATTGGTTTAAATTCTGCTTTTTTCTTGCTTACTTCCTTTTGTTCTTAATTTTCTGATCCACACAATTCAGGTAAACTTAATGAAAAAAGAGTAAATTCAATAATGATTTTTTGATTAGAGAACCTATCTTCTTATATTATAAATTCGGTGTCGTTTTGGCATGAACCAACTTCAAAGTAGCTAGGGCTCAGTCAAATGCTCTTTATGGTCGGTTGGCTGGGTCAAGAATCAAGAGACTCATTATCCAACTGGGCTAGCTAGTGGGTGGAATGGAAAACTACTTGCCATACTTGTCTTGTGGTGTGACCTATTGCGAGGGCAACGCCAAGGGTCCCCCCCAACTTAGTGGGACATGCCTTAAAGATGAGGAAAACCTGCCCAACAAAAGGATCACAAAAAGCAGAATTTAAACCAACTGATATAACCATCAATACTTACCTGCTCAACCTGCTTAGACTTATCTTCCAATGAATGCCTCACCCTCCCTCCTACTTCCATTTTCATGTTGGTTTTACACCAACTAAGCTATGGCCATTGTAACATAACAGAGAATGGAAACGCATTAATATCCACCCAAAAAGAAACTCATTTTCATGTCAACGTAATATTCTTGTTGTATCATCACCAACTAGCTATTAGTCTAATGATACATCTCTTTCCAACATTGAAAGAGGTTGCAAATTCGAATATCCTTCCGTTCATCCAATATACATGAATATCTTAATTAGGATATGTTACAGACTGAAGAAATATACATCAGATTCATTTGCTTTTGGGGTTGGATTCTCTTTTCATTCTTTCTAATCTTTACAATGAATAGTAGAGCATTTGTCGTCCAAATACGTTTCCCTTTAACATGAAAATATCTTCAATTTGTTTCTGTCCCTTTTCGGAAACTGGTTTTGAAAATCATACAACTATACAGAGCAATGCTAGCTGCAGTGATTATAGGGATTGTGACATTAAGTTTCTTTCTTTCTTGTGTTTTCATTTGGTGGTGGGGGACTTGGGTTGAGGGAAAAGGACTTGTTTTCTAGATTCTACTAAATCATACTCTACCAAAGAGGGCCCAATAGATCATCATTTCATTCCATCTTTTCATATCCAACATATTAACTAAAGACCAACTTTTACTAATCATGCAACTTATGATATATATTAATTCAATGAAAGAATTAAAGTTGACCATTGATATAAATTATATATAATTGCAGAGGCAGAGGCAGTCATCTCTTCTCTTTGACCAGCATGTATATCTTAGAATTAACGTCCATGTATGCATAGAGCTTTCTGGAATCTGATCGAAAAGACGAAGCCCGGGGAAAACTTGGGTACGCATGACTCTTGTGGCTGCACGCCTGTTGGTGTGAGTTATAAATTAATATGAGGGTACGATAATGAGCACACTGCTTTAGTCAACTGGCCTAACTTACATTTGCGGAAAGTTTTTATATATACATGAGTACATGGACTTGCCCTTCCATTTGTTAAGATGACGAATATATGGCAGGATAACCATTCAAGTCCTCTTTTATGTACTGGAAAGAGGTATATCCAATGTGAATATTCCGAAATTTTGATAAAAAGGTGAGGTTGAAGTTGAGGCTAGAGGGTCGAAAAATCATGTATACGATCTTTTATGTGTATGGGTATGGCTTCATAAAGTGATCATGACTGTAAGATATTGGCATATAATTTTAAGGTTCTCCTTTTTAAATTATTCTTCTCTTTTTTCCCCCATTAATTCGAAGCAAAGCTCATTCAAAGAAGGTCAGCGGAGAATGATTTTAGCTCTGGAAATTGAAGCATCGAGAATTGGAGATTAGATTTATGTTGATTCTTTGTTCCACAACTTCCACTCCACCAGATATATTTATATCTTAGGGTATTGGTCCCCGTGCATGCATGCTTGCCCTGTTGTGAGCCTCAGAAAGAATAAAGATACAAAAGCTTAAGACAACAGCACCAAACAGACTTATTTATCTAGCTTTTCATTCCAAAGTGGGAGATGTGCCCCTCGCATAATTGAAAGAAAGATCTCTAAACAGACACCTTATAACCAAAAGAGAGAATATGTCCTACCATATGCTTTTCAAAAAGCACTTTGTCATTCAGCTCATTAATTAAAATGACAGTGTAGCTAGCTAGCATGCACATTTGGATTGTGATCAATTTAGAGAAACAGAGAGAGATTTCATAAAACAAAAATCTACTTTACACATCAGGCTGAGAGGAAAAGGAGATTTTACGCAACCAAACTAGTAAAAAAGCTATAGCTACATATATATAACAAAGACCAGACCCATTAATTATTACAGGTTACAAAATTAAACCTCTCTTCCCCTCCAAAGTACACACACTATATATATATACTAGTATATAATACATTAATTAGTTCTACGTACGTACGTACGTATACATAAGCCTCATAATTCTAATTCTCACATAATGTGACACCCACTTTCGTCTTCATCGTGCTCGTCATCCTCCACATAGAATGTTTCGAAAGAATCGGACGGCAGAGCGGGCGAGTACATATCCGGGTGAGAATACGTAGTAGAATGCATGGCATCAGGAGCAAAGTATGAAGTAGCTGTACTCGTAGGACAGGCCGTATTGTAATTTAGCCCATATGTTGGAGGCTGATAGTACATTGATGAAGGGTATGGGCCGGGGTACACGTGCTGAATTGGTGGGCTCATATTCATGGAGCCCATCGCTTGAGCCACCTCAAGAGCAGCCATAGACGGTACAATTCCACCTCCCGGAGCATCACCAAAATATGTGTCACCGGGGTTGCCACCGCCGCTGACATTTGTAGAATTACCATTTTGCCCTTTCTTCTTCTTCTTCTTTTTCTTCTTTTTAGCCCCAGTACTTGCACTATTTCCACCACCACCACCAGCAGCTTCATTACTTTCGTCACCCTCTTTGTCCGACTCACCACCATCATCAGCATCATCACCGCCGTTGATTTGATCAGGTTGATCACCATGGCCATCCTCATGATCGCCATCTTTTTCACTACTATCTGCCGTCTTCTTTTCATTATTATTATTCTTTGATTTTGATTTTTTGGCTTTCTTAGTTTCAGGCCAAAGCTCGGCGTGTTTGCCTGACCTCAACAGCTTCTTGAGAAGGGTCTCTGCCTCCACGTTACCAGTCACCGTCACCTTGTGCTGCTGAGAATCAACCGTCGTCGTGTAAACCCCTGGTGATCACGTCAACAATTAAACACAAATGATCATGAATTACAACTTAATTTAATGAAGATATATAATAACTATGGTGGTCACGTATCATATGTACTCACCTTCAATGCCTTGAAGGACTTTCTTCACTTTCTTCTTGCAGCCTTCACAGTGAATTGAGACTTTCAGGACCCATGTCTGCAAAACAGAGGAGATGATCAATCAACTCAATTCATTTATAGGAGGAACATTTTGATTTGGGAAAAGGTTTTTGTTGATAAAGAAAGTAACTGAACTTGGTTGATGAGAACAAAACTATTATACTAATTAATTATACCTGGTATTTTAAGGCTCCAGGAGCTTCTTCAGCAGGTTTTGTTGCCATCTATCTATAAGGGGTAGAGAGAGAGAGAGAGAGAGGTTGATGAAGTAGAGAATAAGGAAAGTGAGAGTGTGTGTGTGTGTGTGTGTGTGTGTGAGTGTGCTTAGGTTTAAGGAGTGGGGGAAGGATATAAGAGTAAGGTGGGAGCAATAAAAAGTGGAAGAAAAAAGCAAGAAGAAAGCATCTGGTGGTATGGTCATGGTGTGGATGCCACATCAACTCCTCCCCACCCAATGAACCACTAAAGCTCTGACACGTCATCAATATCACGTGATCATATCACGTGACCCTCCCTGTGTTGTTGACCCTACCAACAGCTTACTGCAGCTTCACAGACTCCAATTCACATACTTTTTGGTTTATATTTCTGTATGCGGGTTGGGGTAATGAAAGTCATGTAGACTTAGATAGATATCAAAATCTAACTCTGCCTTGCCTGCCCGTGAGGAAAGATGAGATGATCAGAGCCTTTTCAGTTCATTGTGGAGGGAGGAGGAGAGAAGAGGAGAGAGTCCTATCCTACCCTATGCTCTCCTATCCCTCTCTTCTCTTTTCTTGTTTGTGGCTTTGCATTAACCCTTTTGGCTTTTGTTGCATCTTTTCCAGTTATCCATGAGATCTTTACTTTATATTATAGGGCTTCTTTACTTACTTTTACTGAGAAAATTGACCCAGATAAAAGCCAACCTCCCTACCCACCTACCCCTCCCTCATCATCATCAACATAATTTATTTATGGTTATGGTTATGGTTATGGGGCTCCCTCCATATTTATTATAGGGCTGCTATTCTGTAACTTTTCTTAGGCCTAGAAGATTCTAACAAGTAAATCCAGGAACACCAGAGCAAGTGCTAGAATCCACTGGACTGAAAGCTGCTCTGCTTTGTTTCTTTACTGATCTGAAAA